ACACACTCTCATTTCTTGCTTAAAAATATTTCCTAATTCAAGCAATTCAATGGTAGAATATTCCCTGGTTATCATAGTTTTCCGGCCTTCCAGACAGCAAAAAAAAAAAAAAAACTACTGGGCAGAGAAACACATAAATGATGACTTGTCTCCATGTGGGAGGGGAGAAATTCTGGATATGTTAGGGACGGTGCCAGCAGGACCTGCCGGTGTTTGTTAGTGGATATGAGAGAAACATGGCTGTGCAGGTGATGAGTCCATACAACTCTAAAGTCTCCATGAACTGAAACAAACAAGCTCAGTTTGGCATAAACGGATTAAGCCCTGTTACTGAGTCATTAAGGTGGGAAACACAAGACTAGGGGAGTCAAGGAAGAGGGGCTATGTCAGCATACAGTTAGAAACTGAGGCTAGGAGGGTATGGAGGAGTTCAAAACAGAGGTGTCTGACCGCGCATGAGGGCACCTGTTTGTAATCCCAGTACTTGGGAAGCTGAGGCAAGAGATTGAGAGCTGGGACCCATGAGCACCACAGGGAGAACCTGTCTCAAAATAGCCCAACCTCCAAGGGATCTGTGTGTCAAAAGCTAGGTCCTGGCGCAATCCCAATCCTCAGAAGATGGGTAGGATACAGGAAAGGAGTGTAGAAGGAGGGGCCAGCATGTTGGGGTTTCTGTCCTGTCCAGTACCCCACAACCGGCAAGTCCCCAAGAAAATCACACACAGGACTCCATAAGATTATAAACTGATTGGCCCATTAGCTCAGGTTTCTTGTTAACTCTTATAGCTTATATTAACCCATTATCTCATCTATGTTAGCCATATGGCTTGGTACCTTTTTTTCAGCTGTCAGCTCACATGTTGCTTCTTCGGTGGTCTGGGCAGGAATGGTGGAGAGAGCTTTCTGCTTCCCAGAATTCTCCTGTTCTCCTTGCATCACCCCTACTTCCTGTCTGGTTTTCCCACCTATACTTCCTGCCTACCCAATCAGCGTTTTACTAAAATACATGATTGACAGAATACAGATAATTCTCCCACACCAAAGGAGTGGCCTGAAGCCATGAGAACCGGAGAGGTTTGGAGTTCTGGAAGACTGATTCACAGGTAAAATATTGATCCACAGGGCCACATACTACTTGCTGAAATAAGTGCTGGGGCTGGATGCAGCCAGGGACAGAGCATTGCTTAGCATGGGCAAAATCCTGGGCATAGCCTCTTCACTGAGGACTTTTAGCTTTTAGACCATGTCGAGGCCTTCCCTTCCCTTCCCTGGGAAATGGCAATATCCAAACACACTAGGAAAACATACAGCATGAAACACAGACTGTTCATCTCAGTTAAGTCCCCTGCCCCAGGAATTCCATAAATACAATCACAAGGTCTTACAGGAATTTGCTAAAACTTTTATTGCATTTACTGAGAGAATCACATTTCCCCATAGTAAAATGACTGCATTCTCCAAATTACAAAGCACTCTTCATTTAAAAAGGTTTTGGTTATCTGTGTATGAAATATATAAATCACATTTTTAAAAAAATCAATTATAAAGTATATTACTTTAAAAGAAGCAGAATTTCTCAAAACTAGGAAAATATCCATATCCATGCTGGTCAATCCAAGCATGACATATTCACACAGTTAGCTATATTTATATATCTATGGGAAAGCTGGCACCCGGTGTAGGAGAGGAAGAGAGACAGGAGGAGGGGGGAGATGGTTGAGAGTGAAAAAGGAGCAGAGAGAGGAGGAGAGAGGGCAGGAGAGGCATGCTCACATGGAGCACTAGGTACGTTTGGAATATTTGGTTTTGCTAAGAGTTTGAACTTTCAAAATATATAAAATAATTAAATTTTTCAGATAGACATTAAGATAAAATAAGTAGAAACAGTAAGAAGAAACAGTAAGCGATACTTAAACAGACAATCTTTTTCTCAATACTGCAAAGGTCTGTCTGTTGGAGCTATAACTTTCAAGTTGGAATAATCTGATGGGAGAAGCTGATGAAATGCAGAACTATTGCACGTGATACAGTACCTATACAACTGTCGGTTCTTTGGCTCCCCTAGTTAATCACTACATCAGAAGCTGCTGTGGGAGGAACTCTGGAATATGATCAGTAAGACCCCAGCCCTCCTTGCACACATAACTCATGATAATTAACAGGGAACCCAGCAGACACAGCTGGGAATGCATGGACTTTCTAACTAAAAAGACAACATTGGCATTGAGGGTTTTTTTTCTCATTCTTAGGAAACAGTTGAGGCAAATCTGTGAAAGAAAACAGGACTACACTAACCCCCATGACCTTCAGTTGTCTGAATCCTGCTTACAGAAGTTCATGGACTGGGACCTCCATGCACTTCTTGGTGACATTTTTGGTGAGCCTGACATTGTCATATACATGGTTCTAGGAGCACCAGGCAGGAGCCCAACACTGCTGATCACAAGCAAGGGAACTGAGGTTTGTGGACACTGGCCCAGGTGCAGTTTTTGGAGGGGGGGAGCATTCACTACTCCACCAGAGGACTGGAGTTCAGATCCCAGCTACTCACAACACCCGAACTCTAGCTCCAAGGGATAGGATGCCCCATTCTGGCCTCTGTGGCTACCTATACAAACACATACATACATGAAATAAATCTTTAAAAGTAATTTAACAAGTTGTCTGAAGTTACTTATATGCTGAAAACATTACATACGTTAGAACAATTGCCATTCCCAGGCTCCTGGTGGCTTCCCAGCTCTAACATGGCTTCTCAAAATTATTTTGTGCTGAGAGTCCCTATTACGTACAATCTGCTTCATGACTACAAGGCATTCTGCCTCCAGAACTCGCTGAAACGGAAAGATACCTATAGTTAGATTTATTTAGAAAGAGAAATTAGGTTGGGAACTTCTGGCTAACATCTATGCTACTGTTAGACTTGGTGAAAGTATCTGTAAACCTCCAGCAAGACAGAGTCATGTCATGTTCCCTGTGCCGCTTGGGAAAGCGCCTCTCCCCTGTGTTAACCCCATGTGCCTGAACTCAACGCTCAAGGAGACAGAAGCCATAGAGGGCACAGCATTAAACCCAGCAGTGGAGTCAGAGGCAGATGATCTCTGTGAGTTCCAGGCCAGCCAGGGTTACATGGTAAAACCTTCTCTAAAACAAGAAAGAAAGGGCAATATGGTTAAGATATTTTTCCTCCTGAGCCAGGGAGTGTAATCCCAGCACGCCTTTAATCCCAGCCCTTGGGAGGCAAAGACAGGCAGATCTCTAGGAGATTGAGACCAGCCTGCTCTACAGAGGGGGTTCCCGGACAGCAAAGGCTACCCAAAGAAAACTTTGTCTGGAAAAACCAGTGTGTGTGTGTGTGTGGTGTGCACATATACATACACACATACATACATACCTCCTGAAAGAGAACCTTTTGCAAACAAATTGCCAAAGACCCTTCAATTTAAAACAGAAAAACAGCAGGTGCAGTAGTAAGCTGAAGCTGGGCACGGAAACACACACCTGTGATTCCTCCCAAGTTCCAGTTCCTCCTGGGCCACACATCAAGACTGTTTCCAAAAACTTAAAGGAGCTCTGTGAGTTTGAGCCAGTCTGGGCTACATAGTGAGCTCCAGGCCAGTTTAGGCTCCTTGGTGAGACTTTGCCTTAAAAAGAAAACAGCTGCATGTATAGCCTTGTAAGCTTATACCTTCATGATCAAAATTACTGCCGCACATGCCAGCACACCCCAGCGATTCCTACACAAGTCTGAAGCAACAAAATAGAGTTGAAGGCCAATCTGATCTACTTAGACTCCATGTCATGATAAATAAATAATAAATAAATTACAGTTATTCAAACCCCCTTAGAAGAAATTGTACACTTAGCATGTAGGCTGTTACTTCCACGGTGGCAGGTGGGAAAGCCACTGGATCTGCAGCTTCCAGGTGGCAGCCTCACTTCCTCTGCCCTCCGCCTCCCCCACCAAGTGCAAGTCCGCGCTCTCTCCTGGTAGCCCCATCCCCAGCTAGATGGAGAGAGGAAATGGCAGAAGGGAGAGAGCCAGGTAGTGAAATAGTGAAGCTATTTCTCACCTCCCAGATCACTTGGAAGGATCCTGGAAGTGCTTAGGGAAAGATAATATGTTTCACATGAACAAGCAAGCTACATTCAACTATGATTTAATATTCACCTAGGCTAATGATTTAAATACACTTTGCATTTTAATCTTTCAAGGTCTAAAATATAATTTTAAAGACATAGGAATGTATTCCTGTTTTTATAAATGAGTAATGGGTCATGGCCTGACGTTGGTTTTAATTTTAGGTCCTCAAAGCTAAATACCTTGGTTTCTACAGTCTAGACATAAATAGGGGATGGTGGGAATTAATACGGAGCACATGGCAGATAAATACCACATTGATTTTTTTAGTCAAAAAAGAGGTACATACATAATACTGTGCTAACAAATCCTATCGACTGGCCATGGCCTCTGCTCAGTCTGTGCACAACAACTCTGTGCACATCAGCTCTGTGCACATCAGCTCTGTGCACACCAGCTCTGTGCACACCAGCTCTGTGCACATCAGCTCTGTGCACATCAGCTCTGTGCACATCAGCTCTGTGCACATCAGCTCTGTGCACATCAGCTCTGT